ACTGAGTAATATTAATTAACTACATGTACTTACTATATAGTTAGGCTTATGATTAGGTTTTGGCCTAGGGTTACTTGCATGTAATTATGCATAATGAATTGTTACCACTTTGTTCATAAAAATAATCCTGAAAGAATTGTCAACTGTGATGATATGAAATTATCTTAATGAAGTAAGAAATGATCTTTACTGGAGTAATGGCTGCTGAAAATTCAGATTTGCCATCACAGGAATAAATTAGATTTTTAAAATTAAAATGAAAAACATGTACATTTTAAAAATGTAATTATTTTGAAATATTACTGTTTTTACTGTAGTATTGGTCATATAGATGCAGCCTTGGAATCTTTTGAATGGCTGTGTGCAAATGCAGTTAAACATGGTAAAGGGTTAAACACAGTCACTTGTGTCTCATGTAAACAGACTGGCCAATAGTGTACATTACCATGGTATCGAAATCGCTACTGAGAAGTTTGTTTTGCCACAACTCTAACAGAAATCCTCTAGAAAGCTTAGATTCTGTTGTCTAACATGGAGTCTCTTGATGTTTCAGGCCCTTGGCATACAGCACGCTAGCAGACCTGGTGCACCATGTTAGACAGAACCTCCCATTGACGGACCTCTCTCTGGCTGTGCAACTGTTTGCTAAGAATATTGATGATGAGTCCCTACCCAGCAGTATCCAAACCATGTCCTGTAAGCTGTTGCTAAACCTTGTAGACTGCATCCGGTCAAAGAGCGAACAGGAGAATGGAAATGGCAGAGACATTCTCATGAGAATGCTGGAGGTGAGATAGACTGGCACATTAGACTGTGTAAACTACGCTGTGATTGTAATTACAATAGGATACAAGACTGGCCACATGTAAATGCATTTATAAAGCCCAAAATATACGGATCTGACATTATGACTTCTCTATTCTCAGGTTTTTGTTTTGAAGTTCCACACCATTGCACGGTACCAGCTGGTATCTCTCTTTAAGAAGTGCAAGCCCCAATCAGAGATGGGTGTGGTGGACCCAGGGACATTACCAGGAGTCCCAGCCACCCCTACTGTAACTACACCCGCCTTACCTCCACCTGCACCCCCAACACCCGTCACCCCCGCACCACCTCCGGCCACACCTTTTGATCGACCTGGGGACAAGGAGGACAAACAGACCTTCCAGGTGTCCGACTGTCGCAGTCTGGTGAAGACTCTTGTATGTGGAGTGAAAACTATCACATGGGGCATCACTTCTTGTAAAGCTCCTGGAGGTGAGATGGATTAACGTTTACTTGGCTTTAGATTGTGCCAAGTCATTAAATATTGGTTCTGTTTAACATTTTCTTTGTCTGGACTGTTGAAGCTTGTGGAGCGTCTCAAAATCATTGAAGGGCTGGTTCTGCTCAGCATTCCCATTTGAATATTCTCACCATGGTATTGTTGTATTACAGAGGCACAGTTCATTCCCAACAAGCAACTCCAGCCCAAAGAAACACAGATTTACATCAAGCTGGTCAAATATGCCATGCAGGCCTTGGACATCTACCAGGTACGACTGTCCACCGATTAATGCAGATTACCACAACAAAATCATTACACAAAGTAACTTAAACTTTCTGGTAGAATAGATGAGGTGTTTAAATCTGAAAGTCACATTATGTTGTGAACATAATAAAGTTGGTTTATTCGAGCACACTTGATACCGGGAGCTGAAGTTTACAGCTTATGACAGAGCCAACCCCCTTTTGGCTAGGTACAGATTGCTGGCAATGGACAGACGTACATTCGTGTGGCTAACTGTCAGACGGTGCGGATGAAGGAGGAGAAGGAGGTTTTAGAGCACTTCGCGGGAGTCTTCACCATGATGAACCCTCTCACTTTTAAAGAGATCTTCCAGACCACTGTTCCATACATGGTGGAACGCATATCCAAAAACTATGCCCTACAGGTACTGGCAGTTTTTGTTTACTAAAGAAATGACTTGACATATTATTGACTGTTGATATGACATGGCTGTTCAATCCTTCAACAGATTGTTGCAAATTCCTTCCTGGCCAACCTGACTACCTCTGCACTGTTTGCCACAATTTTGGTGGAGTATCTGTTGGAGCGTCTGCCTGAAATGGGCTCCAATGTAGAGTTGTCAAACCTTTATCTCAAACTCTTCAAACTGGTCTTTGGTTCAGTGTCTCTCTTCGCTGCTGAAAATGAGCAGATGCTCAAGGTGAGGGTTGCGTCTTATGCACATGCAGGTTTATGAAGCAAATTGTGGCCTTTATTGTCTTTTAGTTGGCTAAGGTGCTTAGAGTATTGAGTAGGTAATTCACAATTTTTTCAGAGCGATTGGACGGAGGGATCGTTCACACCCTCCAAGCTCTAATGACACTGTGCTGTCTAACGCCTCAGCGGCAGTAACCGTGCTGCATTAATTTTAATGCGTTCTGTCAGCTCCTCTGATGAGAAATGACACTTGTGCCTCAGATTGACAGGAAAGACCAAAGTGAAGGTCACTGTTGAAATAGTGGAGAGGAAGAGGTTTCTGTATCTCACTTCCCATCGATCCTGTTGCCCGCTGAAATTATCCTCTTACATTCAGTGTCACTGTTTTGAAATAGTCTTTTTTTTTGTTAATGGTTGCAGTTTACTTCTCACTGTATTGTTTCACACACACATACACTACCATTCAGAAGTTTAAAATGAGTACTTTTTGCTTAATACTTACTCAAAAGTGACAGTTAAAGACTTACATTTTTATAAAGGATTTCTATATTAAATAAATGCTGTTCTTTTGAACAATTTATTCATCAAAGAATCCTGAAAAACATTTTTATCATGGTATCCACAAAAAATTAAGCAGCACAAAAAATATTTCTTGAGCACCAAATCAGCACATTAAAATGATTTCTGAAGGATCTCATCAAACTGGCTTCTAATTTTTTTTTTTTTTACTGTATTTTCGATCAAATAAATGTAGCCTTGGTTAGCATAAGAGACTTCTTTCAAAAACATTTTTAAAAGTTGCACTGACTCCGAACTTTTGAACGGTAGTGTAAGTGTGTCATATCCATGTATACTAATAAACATATTTCTTATAAAATTCTCAAAATGTCTGAACATATGCCAATCAAGCAGCCTGGCTTATATATCAGTATATGGCTTTTGCTCACTTATTCAGTTGTTCTTACTTTACAGTGAAGAATAAAAGTTTCTATTTTTCTTCTCAAGGATGTATTGAATCTCTTTTTTTAGCCTCACCTTCATAAAATAGTGAACAGTTCCATGGAGCTGGCCCAGTCTGCTAAGGAGCCCTATAACTACTTCCTGTTGCTGAGAGCCTTGTTCCGCTCAATAGGGGGAGGCAGCCATGACCTCTTGTACCAGGAGTTTCTGCCTTTGCTGCCTAATTTGCTGCAAGGTGAGTGAGATCATTAAAGGGTTATTAAATGTAGCAGTTCCTCGGAACAGTGGTTCTTAACTGGTGGGTCACAACCCAAACGGGCTTTTAGGTCAATTCTAAAAGCGTCATAGCGTAGGTAAATATAATAACAAATTGGGTCCAGCTATCCATATAATGCATTGTGGGGGTAGCAAAATAAAAGAGTATCAACTCTTCTCATATTTTCTGTTCATACCAAACCAAAAGCAGTTTAAAAAGTTATAAAGAACTGAGATGTCTGTCACCATGAAAACACCTCCTCGAGTATTGATCCTTTGTGTCGTCTCTTAGGTTTGAACATGCTGCAGAGTGGACTCCATAAGCAGCACATGAAGGATCTGTTTGTGGAACTGTGTCTCACTGTCCCTGTGCGGCTGAGCTCTCTTTTGCCCTACCTGCCCATGCTCATGGACCCACTGGTGTCTGCACTCAACGGTTCCCAGACTCTGGTCAGCCAGGGCCTGCGCACACTGGAGCTCTGTGTGGACAACCTACAGCCTGACTTCCTATATGACCACATCCAGCCAGTCCGAGCTGAACTGATGCAGGTAAAACCTCTGACCTTTAACCTTAGACCTGACTGAGGCCTGATGGATGATTCAAATGTTTTTCGTAATGCATTTATAAACAGGCGTTGTGGCGAACACTTCGTAACCCTGCGGAGACCATATCCCATGTTGCTTACCGGGTACTGGGCAAGTTTGGAGGAAGTAACCGGAAAATGTTGAAGGAGTCGCAGAAGCTGCAGTATGTGGTGACCGAGGTTCAAGGCCCCAGCATCAAGGCAGAGTTCACAGACTGCAAAGCCTCCATTCAGCTTCCCATGGAAAAGGTAATGCTTAGATCATCCTCATACAAGCAGCATCTTATTGTGTTGTCAATGCATGATATATATATATACGGTACCTTGTAGGACTGCACAATATATTGGAATAAAACCAATACTGCAGTATAATTAAATATATTCTCCGCAGGTTTCAGAATGAATGGTGGCACTGTGTTCATTTATGTGTATAAATTACATTACATTTGCACGTATAAGTGAACACAGTGCCATCCTTCACTCTGATTTATTTGATTATTTGATAAAACTATCTATCTATCTATCTATCTATCTATCTATCTATCTATCTATCTATCTATCTATCTATCTATCTATCTATCTATCTATCTATCTAACTATATATCTAATTGAATTGGTTGAAGATGTTTGTTACATAAAAAAATCAGGCAGAAAGAATGAAAAAACAAAAAAGTTAAAGACTTTAGAATTAAAGGTAGTTTTTCAGCCATTTTAAAATAATTTTAGATTTCTCTGCAGATGCAAAATCACCCCAACCAAACTGACAATTCATGTATATTTTTCATATTGCTATATACCTTGTCAGCTTTAAAGGAGTAGTTAAAGTCATATACTCATCTTCATGTTCCAAACCAATTAGATTTTTTCTTCTTCTGTGAAACACCAAAGTGACACATTGAAGAATGTGCTGGCCAATTTGTTTCTAAATAATAAATTAAAGTACTGTGAAGTTTTGATATGTAAAAAAAAAGCACCAGAAAAGGTCCGTATGAGTATTCCAAAACCATACAACTGATCAAAGTTCAGAAGACTTGTCACCAGTTTTACTTAATTTTAAGGAAAAGCGTAGTTAGTATATTCTTCAACATTTTGTCCTTTGGACTTCAAATGACATTTTCATTTATGTTTCAATTATTTCTTTAATAGGAAATTGCTAACTCTATATTTAATAGTGTCTTTTCAGGGCTGTTAAAAGATTCAGGTTGAGTGTTTGAGGTTTATTTGAGATGAATCCACTTGTGTTGGTTGTCTTTAAGGACTCTCAGAGAGCCATAATAGTTTGTCATGTTTTTAAAAACACTACCACCGTGGCATACGGAAACACAGATTTCTGGCTTGCTTGAGAGCAATCTCAGGAAACCGTAATGAAT